TATGTTTAATATTGTGGCTGTCCTGTTCTCTGACCCCAGATAAGTTTATTAGCGTGCATAATATTTTGGGGAACACAATACCACCACACAATAGTGATGGTTAATGCCTGTGCATTTACTTATTTATTATGACAAGGGTTTGCTGTGTTGCCCGGGTGAGTGTTGATACCCAGGCCTTAAGTCAGCTCATTGCTGCAGTCTTTTATGTGTCTAAGACATGCACCCTCCTCAGCCCATTCCTGGCTCATGTGTGCATTTAACATTAATTTTTTTTTTTAAATATCTGAAGCTTAGGCTGGTAGGAAGACTGGGGTTTAAGGAAAAAACAAGGTTTTGAAATGTTTCCCTGGTGTCCTGTGCCATCTTCCCCACACTGATTTGAACTATGACCCACCGTATATGAAATGCCTGCCCCGTGCTGCTCTCTAGTTAGGGTTTATATGCAGGCCTGGGAATTATGCACACTTAATTACTCATATGTTTTAGTAGTCCTCCCACATGGCTGGGTCTTTTTCTAAGACATTTTCTGGCTAGAAGCAAGCAAAGGTCTGCTCACTTTCCACGTGAATTTCAGAATCAACAGCGGGTTATAAAGAAGATTGCTGTTGTTTGCTATGGGAGTCATTACAGATGAGAAAAAGGACATCTTTCTGATTCCAAGTCATTTCTGTCATATGAATGCAAGAAACTTTGCATGAGCTCAGTTGCACTTCTGTGTTCCCAGCAACACTGCAAAGTTTCTTTATATAGGTCATGCTCATGTATTGTTAGTTCCTATTTCATTTTTGCCTTGTTTCTATTATAAATGTACTTTTGCTTCATTTATTAGAATTATAGTTTATACATAAGGAAACTATTGCTTTCTTTGTGTTAATTTTGAAAACACATACTTTACAGTGTTGTCTTATTGTTTACTCTGGTTTTCCAAGTTAATTCCTTTGGGCTCTATAAAAATAAAATCTTGTTATCTGGAACTAGGATAATTATACCCTTGCTTTGCAATGTTTATATTCTATTTTTTTCTTATCCAGCTGCAATGGGAAATAATGATAGTAATGGGTAACATCTTTTTCTGGCTTTTTGAATGTTTTCAGTGTTTCCCCTGTTTCACTTATAAGTGTCTCAACCCCTATTGTTCTTATTTTAGGACTCTTTAAAATGTTTTGTCTCTTGATCCAGTAATTCCTCCTTTTGTCAACCATTCCAAGAAGCATTCAGAAAAACCTTTGCACAGCATTGTTATGGAAGCACCTCATAACTGAACAAGAGGAGAATGGTTAATGAAATTCTAACTCAACAGAACACCATAGAAAATAGTAGCATCATGGGAAATCATAATATATAACATTGTTTTTTAAGTCACTATAAAAGTGCATAGGCAGTTTGATTGCAACATTCTGAAAAACATCCATTCACTGGTGGGAGAAAAGGAAGGACAACTTGGTGTGGTGGCACACATATTTAGTACAGCACTGTGGAGACAGGCAGGTGGATCGCTGTGAGTTCGAGGCCAGCTCGGTATACATAGTGAATTCCAGGACAGCCAGAACTACATAGTAAGACCCTGTCTCAAAAAAGGAGGAGGACCTTTACAAAGATGTTAATGGTAGTTGTCACTAGGTAATTGTCCTGTTTTTGTTTGTTTGTTTGGGTTTGGTTGCTGTTGTTGTTACCTTGACATAAGCTACAGTCATCTGAGAGGAGGGAACCTCAATTAAGAAATGATGGACTACAAGCTGTAAGATAGATTACAAGTTGCTTTTGGTCAATAGCAACAGAAAGCTAACTAAGATAGCAACACAATGGAAAACAATCTTTTCCTCCTTCTTTCAAGTTTTACATGATGAATTGATGTTTTGCTATTCCGGGAAAGGAGATTTTAAAATAAAATTATAACCAAATCAAACGGCTATACTTGAGCCACTCCAAATAAGAATAAATTTGAGACATCACCGTCACAACACTTACTGGCCTTCTGAAGATGCACATCCATTTCCAATGGACACATTGGACATGATTCATGTATGAAATCTCTGATTTTCTAGTTGCCATATTTAAAGCAAAAGGGGGCATGTGAAATGCATTTCAACAACACATTGTATTTGACCCATTGTGAGACCCAACTCTTCCTGCGGCACTGCTAAGTTTGAAACACTATTAAGTGACTGTTTAAATCTGTTGTTATCACTTATTGTTAACCAATTCTTCACCCTTGCATTGAAAGCATCCCTTCTAATGTTCACCTTCCTGTAAACAGATATATATATATGGAGGATGGGGCAACAGGACTCCTTAATTAGCAGCTGTCTAACTCTCCCTTGCTGCTATTTCTGCGCTGGCTACCTTGAGCCAAAACATTCTGAATCTAACAGTCAAGCTGACCGACCTTATGCCAGGACCTGTAGGGAACACTTTATGGACACCCTGAGAGAGGTAGAGCTGGCGGGCCCAGAGAGCCCACACCAGGACTATTTGAAAGAGTCTGTACTGGTGTTACTGGTGTTTTGCTATCTCAGGCATCAGTAAACTCTAGATGACACTGTAATTATTTCTACCTTGGTTAGAAGGGACACTTGCCCTGATGATCTAGCCTAGTAGCTGCGCTGAGAAGCAAGGCTGTGATTTTCCCCCAAAATATCTGTGATTGGTCCAAACGCCTATTCTCAGGCTATATAAGCAAGCTATTCAGGTTCATTTAGTGAACCAGGTGGGAGACACTCTCCTGCTCTATTTCCTCTGATGTTTCAAAAGCAGGCTCAATGAAGCCTTCTCTTTCATGGTCTGGCCTGCTCTTAGGAGCCTAGGTTGGGCTAATAACACATAAAAAAGCAGCAGGGACATCAGAGAGTGGCACCAATGATGGCAGAGGCAGTGGAATGGCACCAGCAGTAACAGCAGAGCAGTTGGCAGACTAAACTGAAAGCCATAAGACAGCTAGCTGCTTCACAGTAGGCAAGAGCCAACTGAACAGTTTGGGACTGGCCAGAGTAGGAAGAAGGGTGGCAAAAAGAGGGAGACAAGAAGGTAGAGCCTTGGTGCTGAAGAAAGATAAAAGACTGTAAGAAGCCAAAGAGGAGAAGTTGCATCTGGCCCTCAGAAGAGTGCCAAGAGCCATCAAGTCTTCAGGGCCAAGGTATCCCCAGGCTAAGACCTGTAATACCGACGACTGCCAAGGCCTAAGCATTCTGATACCCAAGGCTTGTATGGGGGCTGTGAAGCTAGAGCTCCTGACCTAACACTGTCACTTACTGCCATCAAACACCAAGAAAAGGTAAAACTGCAAGAAACCACCAGCACTTGAAAGCCTACCTATGCTTCTTATTCTGTTAGAGCAAAGGAACTCTTAACCAGATGGTGACAAATGGAGCCCAACTATTATCACTCTAGCTTGTCATCAGCATAAGATTATTCATGTTTTTTTAAATATAAACATTCTCTCTTCCTTTCTTAGCTTGGACATCCAATGTGAATTTTACATTTATAATGCGTCTTAGTTCAGAGTAGCCGTATCACATGTTTAATAGCCACCAAATGTTCACAGCAGTTCTACAATGGATAATCTTGGTCTAGACTGTCTCAGTAGTTGTTCCAAAGGGGAAGTTCTGAAAAGGGAGTGTGTGTGTATGTGTGTATGTATGTGTGTGTATGAGTGTGTCTGTATATGTGTGTATGTCTGTATGAGTGTGTCTGTATATGTGTGTATGTGTGTATGAGTGTATGTGTCTGTGTATGTATGTATGTGCATGTGTGTATGAGTGTGTGTGTGTGTGTGTGTGTGTGTGTGTGTGTGTGTGTATAAAAGGCCAAAAAAAGTGCCTGCAAAATAACAGAAATCATGGAGGGAAAAACCATCATCCACAATAAAAATCACCCGGACCAAGATGCTTTATTTAGGGTTCCCAATGATCCCTCTCTGCTGTCCTTTACTGAACAAAGTATCCCAATCCAGATATAGATATTGCTATACTTTGTTGTCTAAAACAAAGAACAAACAAGCAAACAAACAAAAAACCCAAAATCTTGGGATGCAGGCCTTTAATTTAGACTGTGAATTCTTCTGGAGTCCTCAGAGAACTGCCCAAAGCTCTTCCAAGTTGTGCTATCCAGTAAGTGGGCTCCTAGCAATATGTGGCTATTTCAATGAAATGTAATTAGACATTTGGTCGTCAGCTGCATTGGTCACATTTGTAGCAGTGGGTAGCTGTGTCTCAGCCACTGTTTGGATTGTAGGAGAATCCTGCCCCAACCCCCAACCTGCCCATGCTCTTCTCCACAAGTTACTGTTTGCTGGCCTTGGACAAGGACCTAGGGCTCTTCTCCATCTTAGGGTTCACTATTGTCGTACTGTGCTCTATGTCATAGCATACTTTCCACTGGCCTTGGCCTCCTTAGAGATGCATAGAATTCTGTAGCTTGGTGCCCAAATGCAGTCAAAGACATGACTACACCAAAAACTTCCATTCCCTCTACATATCCATGTTAGGGCTTGCTCTGAAAGAAACAAAAAACAGATATAGACTGATGCAGATTACAGGCTTTAAACTGGAGTTTTGTAGCTAGGGTAGGGGGGTTGGAAAGGAGTTTTCTTAGCGGCAGAATGAAGTTAGCCGTTTTCCCTAGATAAGCTGTTTTTGAAACTGCAAAGTATCTGGGGAGAGGGTCAGCTACTTCTGCAGTCTCAACAGCTGGCTTCCTGGAAACTTGAACTCAGTTGAGGACCTTGGCTGTGGGGGGAGTCTTTCAGAAAGAAGGGGTAGTGGTCCCTCATATTTTGCTACCTCTCAGGAGCTCAGCCCTGCTTCCTAAGAATCTCTCCTGTCTCACTTGGTAACTGTGAGTTCAGCTTCACAGGCAGGAAGTGAAGTATCTATTCTACCGCCACTTGATTATTTTATTACCCGCCCCCAATCCACCCCGGAATATAAAAGCCCAAGACAACAGGAAAACGCCCCCTACACATCTTGGGCATCCGGGCTGAAGGACCTCTCCAGTCCCAGTAAGAAGGCCAGCCGCGCACCCGCAAAGCGCGGGTCACGTGCGCGAACAGGGCCGGACCACCGAGTCAGTCCTCCAGCCTCCTAGAGCGGCCTCGGAAGTGCCCCCGCGGCGCGGGTCTTTCCGGCCGGGCAGTCCGCGCTTTTGTCCCGCCGGCGGCCGGGCTACCGCGGCGCCGCCACAGCCAGTACGTGAGTCCCGGGCCGCCCGCGCTCCCGCCTCCCCCCGCCCCCGGCCCGCCACGCCCTTCCCTTCTCTGCTCTCGGGTCTCGGGCGGGTCCTTGGGGAGATCGTGACTTCCTCCGCGCTTCGGGAAGCGTCCTTCAGGAGGGAAGGGGAAGGGGAAGCCAGGCCGGGGCCCCGAGGGCAGCTCCTGCCGTCTGAGCTCGCCCTGGGCCCAGGAAGGACCGGAATCCGCCCCGGGTTCCTTGTCTGTTCGTAGCCATCTCGGGCTTAGAGGGAAGAGAACCTCGATTATTAGCGCTTAAAAATTTGCCCTGATTGCGGTTAAGTTTGTTTCTGAGACTTAGAGGTGACCTAATTGGGTCACCCCTCCCCTTTATTTTGGTGGGAGAGAGGTGCTGAGAGACACCTGCGGGTGTGGAAGCAAACCCTTGCACTTCCCGGCCCGCTCCTAGGAGAAACTCGTATGTAGACCAATGGTTGCCATCAGTGAAGGCCATCTGCCGGACCCCCACCGCAGCAAGCAGAGGAAGTGTTGACTTAGGGAAAAGCTTTGAGAAGTATTGGGGCAGGGCTGTAAAAGATAAACAAAGGCCGGATGGAGACGTGCCCGTGCTGGTGTGTTATCTTAAGATGGTTAATCTAGGTGGCCAGGACAGTTTAAACGCCTGAATCTCTCTCTGTGTGTGTGTGTGTGTGTGTGTGTGTGTGTGTGTGTGTGTGTGTGTCTTTTTGAATAAGTAATGTTCATGTGACCACGACACTAGAATATAAAAAGATTTTAAAAACAAAAATTTAATGCAAAATATAAAAACAAGATTTTCTTCCGGTGTTCTCAATGGTGGTCCTAGGCCCACCTTAAAAAGTTAACACTTTTGTTAAGATCTTGAATAGACTTCCAGGATTTCTTTATTCAAATACTAGCAAATATATAGTTCGTTCCTCATATTCAGACAGGTGGTAGCATAACAAATCTTTCTGCTTCCTTGTTTCTTTTCCTAAATCTGTTTCACATATCTCTATCGGGAAACAGGTTTGTTGTTTTGCAGACCTGGAGTGGATTGGCAATTTTAAAAGATGTTTTAGATGAGGATTGTATTTTATAATCTTTGAGTTGTTCCCAGTGCTTTTATCTCAAATGGTAGTATTCGGAATGATTCAATGCTAGGATAAGGATGTGAAATTAGGAAGAGACTGAGATTAATAAAGTATTTTTTGTTTTACATTAACTCAATCAAAATATGCTGAATTACTTGCTTCAAGCCAGTACCTGAGTGAGCCCTTAGCTTCAGAAAAATTTCTACACTGCCTTTCACAGTCTTTTGCCTCCATTATTCCTGGAGTAGGTAGAACTCTCCTGCACTACTATGAGAATATTCCATTACAAAAACCCCTTCAATCCTTATTCCTAGCTTTTAAATAGAGACAAGTCTTTATATGTATATGTGTGTGTGTGTGTGTGTGTGTGTACTTTTCACAAATTAAATACAAAAATAACCAGAGCATACATCATACTCTTGTCTGTGTATCACTTTCTCATATAGTTCCATCTTCCATTTGCACATCTACCACTTAGGTGCTCTTGAGTTGGCAAACATTCTCTCTTGATTTCATTTTTGTCATCTGAACATGCTTGAATGACTTTTAGTCATTTGAACAACTATTATTCATTTTAGTCATCAAATGTGTTATCTAAGAACTTAGGATATGGAAATCCTGGATCACACTTGAGATATAGGACATTGCCTTGTTTAATACAGTTGAAATCTGGAAATTCAAAGTAGCTGCAGGCAGGCATGTTACACCAGTTTATTCTTGCAGTCTCTTATCATAGGAGCCATTTTCCACTGAAACAGGATTGCTCTCTTGTGAGTTGTCTCAACTTTTGAGAAGTACCTCCTCACTGACCAGAACAGACAAGGTTCTTGCTATCTGCAGACACTTTTGTAGGACTTAGGGGTAGAATGTGAACAAGTGTAGAAATACCCCAGGGTTGTGAGTCTTATGTAATTTGTGAGGTACAGAGACCTTTTCATGGTTCCCTTCCACTGATGTTACCAGACTGTTAAGTCATGATGTCTATCAAAAACTGGCTAGAGAGATTTCCCATCTAGTTCTGAGAAATTAAAACCTCTTTTGGTCCTTTCTAGTCCTGTGTTATAAGGGACACATGATGGCCACCACATCCATCCTATTGATTATATTGTAATAACTTCATCTTGGAACTCTTAATTCTTGGTTCTCTTAGCCCCTCCCCCAATCCATTCTCCCTTGGTGGTGGTGGCAGCAGTGATGCCATTAGTCTCAGGAGACAGGCTATGTGAGTCAAGGCCAGCCAGTGCTATACAGTGAGGCTCTGTCTCAAAAAAAAAAAAAAAAAAGGAAAATTAAGCAAAGTAAAAATAATACAGTGAGTGAGCTGTATGCCCATAGTTTCAGGATTCTCTACATTTTTCTCACCTTTGCCTTTTTGTTTTTTTTCTTGGTTGAAGCATTTTAAAGCAAATTCCTGATCTGCTTTTTTTTTAATTACCCTCATGTTTGTCATTAAAAGTGGCATATACTCCTAACCACTGTAGTACCACTACATTACAGCCCATTTTAGCTTTGATTTTTTTTTTTCTTGTCTAGCAGCAGTAGGCAGATTACTGGGCCATTTGTCTACAATAAGCTTAGAAGGGCTTATACCTTTTTAATGGAATGTTTATAATCAACAGCATGGTCCAAAGAAACCTTAACTATTAATACTTATCTGACCCTTTACAGAAAAATATTGCCAACCCCAGATTTAATAATGCCTATGCTACTCTTTACTTAAAACTCTCGAAGAGTAAGTGAACTGTTCAGTTTGAGTCAGACCCTGCTGAGCCCTTGTTGCTTACCTGTCTGGTTTCCCCTGCTGCTCTATGTTCCAGATGTCTAAAGTGTTAGAAACATTAGTTCTCCCGAGTGTACTCCTGAAGTTCTTAGTTGTTTGGGGTGAAGGGCAGCCCTCCCACCTTTTCTGATATCTGTGCTGATGCTGTCTGGGGTAGACCTCGTTTCCTCTATCCCTTCATTCCCTGGACTAGCCCCAGGCCTGTATATGGGGAAAGAGCTACTTATTATGGGTATGATCTAAGTTCCTTGTGCACCATTCACTCAGATAACCACGATACTAGAATGTACCCTCAGTTCTGTTCATAAGAATGGCAGTGTGTTTTATTACACTCTCAGTTGCCTTATAGGCAACAGCATTTATGCTCCTGCTGTCTTGATGTCCTTTTGCCTGTGTTTTTGATTACGTGAACTATACTGCATGTGCCGAATAGCACCGACCCAGAGAGGGTTAAGGAGCCTTGGCCTCTGACTAGATTGGAGAAGCAAACAGTAGTGTTTATGATTTCATGCAGTTGAGGCCAGTTAGTAGCCAATCATACGGTCACTGCAGAAATGAAGTGACTAAGGATTAGGGAAATTAGAATTCAGTTTTTCAAATAATTGATGGAGAAATGGCTTTTTATCACTATCATCAGGACTTGAATTCAGATTCCCATGTGAAAAGCCTGGAGTTGTACCAAACACCTGAAATCTCAGCACTGAGAAGGAGAAAGACGGATCACTGAAGCTTCCTGGCCAGACAGCCCAACTGATTGATGAGAAACCCCATCTCAGAATATACATGGAGAGTGATTGTTGAAGACACCTGACATCAACAGCTCTGGCCTCCACATGCACATACACATGTAAATGCATGCTTATACATGTGAGCACACCACACACTCATACATGAGGGAAAGGACAGACTGAGAATTAGTGAGTGCAATGGCAGTGAGCAGTAAGTCAGAGCCCCTTTTGTGTCTAAGGACACATTCAGTAGCTCGATACAGAGGATTTGGCCTGATGTGGTGTGTGTTAAGGGTTTAGTTTTGTTTTTGTGCTACTCTAGCAAATCCTGCAGACTGGGTAATTTACAAGAGCCTGAGAAGTCCCAAATTAAGGTGTTGGCGTCTCCTGAGGCCTTCTTGCTCTGTTTTCACATGGTGAAAGGTACCATGGTAGAAGAGCAGAGAGAGCCATAATAAGTTCTTTATAAAGAACCCAGTCCCACAATAATGGCATTAATATGCTGTAACATAAAGACAGTGTCTCCATGGCCTTATCACCCACTTCTACCAGGAACAGTGTCACACTTTTGTAACCCCCAATAATTGACAGGCTGAAGCTGAGATCTCTGAGCCTGGGACTTCAAGTTCAAGGCCAGCCCCAGTAACATAGTGAGACCTTTTTTAAAAATTAATTAATTAATAATTTTTTAGAAAAAGACCTGCTTAATATTATATTGGCAGTTTAACTTAAACATGAATTTTGTTTTAGTTTGTTTAATGACCAACTACACATTTTATGACAACTCTTAGAGAAGAATTGGGTGGGGATAAGAATGAAAGCAGAAAGACTGTAGAGGGCAGTAGTCCAGAAGAGAATTATGGAGGACTGAAAGTGAGGCCTAGAAGCTGGTGTTCATACAATAGGATAAGTTAGTTTTATGGGCTGTTTTGAATGAAGTTGAGAGAAATAGAAGAAGCTGCTCTGATTAAGACAAAGAGGACAGTGGGGCGGATAATAGGATCTGTGTTTGGATAAAGGCTTTGGGTCAAAGATAAGTTCCTAACAGACAGCTTTTAGGAGTGGTAGAAGTCATACATACGGAGCTGTCTGGCCAGCATAGAGTCAAGAGGAAAGTTATGTTAAGCATAGAGTCAAGAGGAAAGGTTAAATGAAAGGATCAGAACATAAGAGCATCAGCAACTCTGCAAAGGAAGCATGTTATCTAGAAAAAGCTAGTGCAGTGAAAGCTAGTGGTCTGAGTGAAAGAAATCAGCTTGAGTAGATGAGGCTTACAGGGAGACAGGTCACTAAACAGAGACAGGGTGGTGAGAGGAACACCGAGAAGGGAGGTAGAATTGATGGAACACTGAGTGTAGTTTTTGATGTTTTGAAAACTTTGTGTTTGAAGGTAATTTT